AGAATGTGGGTTCCCGAACAACAACCCAACTTTATTTCAACTTTCTCTCCTTCCAGCTTCCCTTTTCAAATGCACATACGCTTTTACTTTACAGGGGGATCTAAACGCTTTATTAACTGCTGAGATTACAAACCTCATTTGGAATTGGTTTTTTTTTTTTTAGCCAGAGTACACTTTCGGTCCTTGGAAAATTGCCCACATGTGTAACTTGTTTTTGCTTCTCCTCAGACAAGGAATTCCCCCCCTCCTCCTCCTCCCTCCCTCCCCACTTACGGATTTTTAACAGACGGCAGCATTCAAACCGAGAGCCAGCACAGGAAATGGCAAAGGTAGATCCTTCGGCTTTTAGGCTCCAGAAACTTATTTCACCTTTTTTTCCTTTTTTTTTTTTTTCTTTTTTTTTTTCTTTTTTTTTTTTTTTCCTGTAGGTTTTACTCTTCAGGGGGGAATTTTTGTTGCCCTTTCGTGCGTTCGGAGGGGTTTCCATGACTGAAGTTTCTTTCATAACCTCTCAGACCTGCCCTAAAATGTATCGTTCATAAATTACGTTTTGAGATTTTGCTCCTTAAAAAAAAAAAAAAAAAAAAAAAAAAAAAAAAAAAAAAAAAAAAAAAAAGCCATTCCCTTGTTGTGATTATCAGTATTATTATTATTATATTGTAATGTTTTATATCACCAAAAATAAACGCTCAACCCTTTGAAGGCTGAGTTATCAGAATCTGGTCTCCAGACCCTCCATAGCCGTGAAGTTCACTCTCAGCTTTTATCCTGCCTTAGCTTATCCTTATCGGCTTCCAAACCTAAACTGGGGAAGAAAATATCCCTAAAATATCCCTAAAGTCGTGCAGGTTCCACCCCGACGCCGTGTCGGCCTCTGGGGGTAAAGATCCTGCTGGAATCCCCCCAATCCTGCCCCGTCTGGGGGGAAAGCCCCGCACCCCCAAATCTCCCCCACCTTCTCCATCTCAGTGACAAAGAGGCAAAAGCGGCTGGAAGAAGTCACCAGTTCTAATAAATTATAACAAAAAGCCTCGAAAAAGTGGTTAAATGTGTTTCCGGTAAGAAATGGACCATCCGGTCTTTTTCTTTCTTAAGCCCCAAACTTATAAATCAGTAAAAAGCGACGATTGCACAGACTTAAAATCTGCATATTTCAAAAATATTGTGTGTTTGGTTGCTTTCAGCTCAGAAACGCCGACCCGAGGAGTGATTTGTAAAGATGGATTTTGGCAGTTGTGCGTTTCAAAACACTGCTCGGAAAATATTCCTCCTCTCCACAAACAATAAAGATTATTTATAAACACTACCCGAGCTCAGAAGCTTCTGGTTCTCCACTGCAGGCTGACAATGCTCTGAGTTTTTCCTCCCAGCCAGACACACTTGGCGCTGATTCTGCAAGCAGGAAAAAGTTTTCACTTCGAATTTTATTTTGAATAACTCTTTCCACTTCCTCTTCCCTTTACACGCCACAACAACCCCATATCTACAATGAATCTCGTTCTCAAACCCAGCAAAACTCGCATATCCTGCCTCCTCTCTTCCAAGGATTCAGACTTTTGGACTCTGCTCCTTGAGTTTTCCTTCTCCCAGTTGTGTTGGTTTTTTTGTTTTTACAGACGGAAGAGTTTTTTATTTAATTTCTGGTGGGCTTTAATTAAGGATTTAAAACCCAAACGCCTCTGGAATGTCACCCGGAGCAGGCAGCGCTGCACGACGTGGTCTCCAAGCGAGCAGACCTGGGATGAAGCTGTAATTTGCCTTAAGCCCCTCTCAGAAAAGGCCACAAAGAGATGAGCGATGGGGAGATGCATAAAAAATAAACTCTTGAACAAACGGAAACCTCCAGAGGAGCGAAAGCAAATGGGTTTTGCAGATCTTCTTGTGAGGTTTCCATTCACCAGGGATCTGAAACCCCTTGGTTTCTGCCTCACAGCCACGCTCCTGAGAGTCTTCTTGGTTTAAATTTATATACTACAGAAAATTATATACTCACATGCTGACATAGTTCATCGTTATTTATAGGAGGCGCACCAGGATTTTTTTTTTCCCAGGAATATATTTATTACAGGTAAGACACGGCCAATCTATCTGGCGAACAGAGAACAGGTGTTTTGCTTCAATTAACGTTCAATAATTTCATCTCTCCTTATTCAACACCCTGCTACCAACACGGCTGTTTATCCATCACTTGTATAAACACATTTCCATGCGCCAGGCGAGTTTCGTCTCCACAACACACTTAAATCAGCCCTTTCCTCTCCCGAGCTCTCATAACATTTGCGGAGTCCCTCCGAATCTCCTGTGGACCGGCCTGAATTTTAAAAAATCATTTCTGAAAGGCAATAAAGCCGAGAAATATGACAGCGCGAGCTCCCGGCTCGTATTTCACGCCTGGTGACACAGGGGCTCTGCCTTTCAAAACCTCACCAACTCTCGGGGAAGTTTAAAGAAGGGAGCGGGGGAAAAAAAAAAAAAAAAAGGACGTAGAAATGTGGAAAGTTGGAAAAATGAGGAATTCCCCCCTCGTTTCACACGAGCCCCGTTTGGGGGAGAGGCACCGGAGGGAGCAGCGCCCCTGCCCCGCTCTGCTCGCTGCTGGGGGATCCCTCTGCCCGCTCCAGCTCCGGGGAGTCATTCTGGGGAGTCATTTTGGATGAAACCCCCCCGGAAAGGAGAGCAGAGTTGGCAGGGCAGCGGGAAGGACTCACAGGACTCACCTGGTGACATCTCCCCACGGGTGGCTTGGCAAGATCTCAACCCCGAGGCTGGAGAGGGGTCCCCAAACTCTGCCCAACCCTCACCTTGGCTGGAGCCCGGGACGGAACCTCCTCGTCCAGCTCAGGGAGGGCTCGGAGCTGCCGGGGGGGGGCTCGCGGTGTCCAGACAGTTGCAAAAATTCGAATTAAATCTGACCTCCGGCATTGAGCTCCGGCTCTCCTTGCCCATCATCCCGACCCTCTGGATTTTTTTTTGTTTTAAAATGAAAATGGACAACTTCCTAATTGTGCCTCATTTAGAGGAGCCCCGGTCCCGGGCGTGGGGGAAACGCGTCCCTCCGTCGGGCTGCAGGGCAGATGCTCCTGGAAAAGCCCCGGTTATAGGAATAAAGGGAAATCTCGGGCTTTGGATGGAGGTTTTTAATCGCCTTCATCATCCTCCAGCACCAGTGAAACACCTCTGGCAGCGATTTCCCACCTCCGCTCTGTGCAGGCACAGACACTCGCACGGACACTCACACGGACACGGGGAAACGCGAAATAGGTTTTTCCTTCATCCCAGGCGGTTATTGGCACCCCCTCACTGTTATTATTAGCCTGTTAATACAGATTTCCCACCTCTGTACACCTCAGGAAGGATTCGCGATGATTTATCATTCCTAGAAATCTCTTTGCCCTTCACTTCAAATATCCTTCGGTGTTGTGGGGTGAGAGGGAGCAGGACGGAGGGGCAATAGATTAAAAGAGGCAAATTGATCCGGACTGTTACGGCTGAAGTCCAGAGAAACACTTTTGCCGTGCTCACGGGGAGCACCTTTTCCTTAACCAACATTTACGGCGCCATCGGAGCGTCTCGCAATAAAGGGATTTATCATCAGAACTTGGGAGAACCGAGCCCGTTTCCCCGCGTCGCTGGGGCTGGAGCCGCCCCGAGCTCGAAGCCCCGCGTCCATCACGAGGGGAAAATCCCCAAACCGCCAGGTTTTGGGAAACACGCGGAAAAGGCGCGCGAGGCGGGGGTGGTGTTGGACACGCACACGGGGGTGAGGTGCCAGGGGGGCACGGGCGCTGCGAACGCGAGGGATTCCTCCTTCGCCCCCTTTCTGTTCCACAGGCTATAAATTCAGGGCTATAAAAATCAAAGAAAGCTAATGTAAGTTTTATTAAACTATTTAAGCATCGCGAGTTTAAGGCGTTCTGTGACAAAGCCGGATCAGTGGTGCACTGTATTTTACTGGCCTTGTAAAGTTAAATGAAGGCTTCTGATTTCAGCCATGTGGGGAACTATTTTAGCTCCAGCAAAGCGACCCCGACGATGCCGCCAAACATGCGAACATATGTTCATAGGCAGAGATATTTTTAATATATTTATATATATATATATCTGTAAGCACGAAGCCGAAGGCAGGCGTTGGATGCACGCAGGGCTCGCAGCTCGGCAGCTCCCTGGACAAAGTTGCGACGGCACCTCCACGCCAGTGGCGTTTTGAATTTCATATTTACCCACATTATTTTACCGTGTTAACGATCCATTTTCCCCCATCCCAGATGGTTAATTATTTATAACGCCCTCCCCAGCACTCCTGCTACCTAGAGCCATCTTTCCGCTTTGCAAAAAACGCATATATGTGTGTATTTATGCGCGCGTGTGACTGTAATGAATGTATATGAAATCACGCGAGGAGGGGGGGTGGGGGGTGGTTTGTACTTATTCTCTGTTTTTCCCTATCGTGCTCCGGAGCCCGAGTGGCAAAGAACAGCTTTTATCTCTATTCCCCCATGGTCGTTATTAAAGGCGAAGCGAGCCCATCAGCATCTTTCTTTAAAAGAAAAAAAAAAAAAAGAACCCCCCCCTCCTCCCCCTTTCGGACCCCAGCCCATAATATTGCAGGAGCAAACCTAGGAAGGGAGATATTTAGGAATATCAGCCCCGGCTTTGACCATTCGGTGGCCTTTTTTTTTTTTTTTTTTTTTCGAAAACTCCTGACGTTTTGCAACATTGCATAAACATAAAACAATCCATCCTTGATATGGAATGCAAGGGCGGATGACAGCGCAGCGCAGCCCCCTCGGCTTCGATTGATTTACGCCGAGACTGACGCTTTATCAGGCACACGAAAAAAGTTTGACCAATCATTTCGCTGGGAGCTCACAACACAGCAGCCCAACTGTACTTTGTTGGCTGGGAAGTTGGAGAAGGGGGTAGAGTACAAATCTAGATCTGTCCTATATATGTTTTTTTTTTTTCCCTTCACTGAACCGTGCTTTGTATGATGTCTGAGAATGTCCATTTCTGGGACTCTTAGCAATTATTATGTCGACTCCATTATAAGTCATGAGAGCGAAGACTCGCCTTCAGCTAAATTTTCGTCTGGGCAATATTCGAGTTCCAGGCAAGCTGGGCACAATGAGCATCTAGAATTCCCCTCCTGTAGTTTTCAGCCAAAACCTCCAGTTTTCAGCGCCTCCTGGACTCCTTTGAATCCACATTCTTCTGGTACCCTTCCTGCCGTCTACCATCCATATATTCAACATCAAAGCGTCCCATCTGAGAGCAGGTACCTCCGGAGCTGGCTGGATCCAGTACCCAGGGCAGAGAACCTCCCCGGGCAGGGATCTGTTAAGGCAGAGCCGCTGCTGGGCCGTCCCGGGGATGTCCATAAACAGGGAACACAGGAGTACAATTTAGAAACTTCTGCTGCAAGGGAAGGGATCGTTTCCAATCAAAGGCCCAGCTTCGAGGACAATAAAGTTTGTGAAGGAAGCGAAGACAAAGACAGGACAGATCAAAGTAAGTTATAAAAGTGAGGAAGTAAACAGTATAAAAGCTGGAGGAGGTGCAATAAAAGGGGACAATGCTGCGTAAAGTTTAAAATCGGGGCTTAAAGAAAAGTCTCGGCTTTGCTGATGCCAACCTAAGGGGAGAGGTGGGGAGGGGAGAGGGGTGGCATTGTCTCTGCCGGGAAATAAAAATAAAAATAAAAATGAGAGTCGTCTCTGGGCTTAAACGGAGTCCAGAGCGGACAAAAGCCGGAGCGAGTCACCCTCTTTCCTCCAGAGCGCTGGCTCCGGCAGCAGAGACGCTTTAGTAAGCGGGAGGAAAGGCGCGGGTGCGGGAGCTGGGAAGGGACGGGAAGGGACGGGGGGAGCCGGGGAGTGCTGGGGAGAAGGGAGAGGGGGAGAAGGGGGGAAAAGAGGCGAAATCGCCGAGGAAAAGTTCCCGTGTGCGGGGGGGAAGCGAAGAGCAGCGGGGGCTTTGCCGTGCCCGGCGCATCCTCCCGGCGGGCGCGGGGCCACCGCGCTCCCTCCGCGGCTCCTGCCGGGCTCTGCTGCCCCTGCCCGGCGTTCGTTCCTCGCGCTGGCTCGTTCGTTTGTGCTTTTAATCGTTCGTTTATTAAACGCGACGATATTCCGGGTATGACTATTTCAAAAGCGCGCTACTTCCTCGTTAAAAAAAAAAAAAAAAAAAAAAAAAAAAAAAAAAAAAAAAGAAGGGGGGGCGCTTCCAACTTAATTAGCTTTTATATCAGCTTTTATTTGTGATGTAGCCAGATTGGGGAAACGCTTAAACTTCAGCACTCGCTTTTTCGGCGAGTTGGTTCGTCTTTTGCCCGTTGAAATACAGAAAAAGACTCGTTCGCCTTGAAAATATTTAATAATACCCTCAGCAACGCGATTAATCGCGCTATTATTAATACTAACGATAATAACAGCGTTGCTAAGGATAACAATGCGTTCGAGTGAGGAAGAATCGGTATCTGCACCTCGTGCCTGCCCGGCTGGTACCTGGTTTGCAGCTGGAAGGTGAAGCCCGGGCAGGAGGAGAGAGGGAAACTTGGCTTCGCCCTCCCAGTAAAAAATATTTCGCAGGGAAAGCCGAACTTTTCCCGACTGGCAGAGCAGGAGCCCCCGCCGAGGGTGGAACTCCTCGGAGCAGGGGACGCCCTGACATCCTCCTTCCCTTTGAAGCAACCTCTGTTTTCTTTTCACTCGGCGTGGAACAGCCACGGAGTTTTTGCCGTGGCAACCACAGAATATTCTGGCCCCCGTGATTTCCTCCCCTCCTTGTGCAGGATATTACGGTGACATTTTTTTCTCTTTCCTCTCGTTTAACTCGCGCACAGACACACTCACACACACACACTCACACACTCACACAAAAAGAAAGTCCTGTTCTATTGTGCTGGGCAGAGATCCAGAACAAACTGCAACCGTGAGGTGAATGATTGGAGGGAATTAAACCTCCAGGTCCTGTGCTCAATGTCCCTGAAATTGAAAATAGAAAAATCTTGTCCAAGAAGATGTTATTAAGTTATAAGCGAGTGCAGGGACCCGCGCGAAGAGGATGCTGTGTGGTTTCCATGGCGTGCGGTTACGGCGCATATTTTGTTTTAAATAATAGTTTAATTTGGGCTGATGGTGAGAGCCTGCCAGGGTTGGAAGACGAAGCTGTTTTGCAGAAAGTCCTCCCTCCGATTTCCCTGACTCTTTCCATTTTTGAAAGTATTTCTTCATAATGGATCTCTGCCCTGTGTATGGCGCAGGAATCTCTTCAATTATTTGCTGGATTTTAAGGAAAGGACGTGCCAGAACCGCTTCCCATTCGCTTTCCTGTTTAGGGATTTGTGTCTAGTGAGTAGATAAAGCAACGCTGGCATTTAAAATGTATTTTAACGATCCAAAATATGACCAAAAAAAATAAACCCAAACCGAATAAAAACCTGTTATGAAGCACGGCCCTCCATCGCCATTAAAGGATGGGTAGCAGGATTAACAGTATCAATTATTAACAGCTTTCTTCCTCTTTAATATTTAATTCTGCATATTAGATCAAGTCAATTACATTAAGGAAATAGCCGTGCAAATTTGTAAGAGGCAGTACTTACAGGGCAAGATTAACCGGATTATTTTTTAAAAAATATTCAATATATTTCATTTTACGTGGAGGAAACGTTGCAATGGCGTGTGTGTGCGTGTGTGTATTTATAATGGTCCATTTAATTGGTGTAAAGGTTTATGGCTTCAGTCATAATTTCAGAGGAGGCAAAGGAAATAAAATAGAAATACGCGGTGTGTCCATAACCCTTCGTTTTACCCTTTCCCGCCTCTCAGTCACCCAACGGGCAGCCGATATTTGCATGTGATTAGTAAACGTTCCATTATTTACCCTAAACCCACTTCACCTCTGGGTGCGACCTTCGCCACTCTGCTGTCTGCGGGGGTGGCTTTGGCCCCCAAATGTTGGGTTTTTCCCCCCCTTCCTCGGACGGACTAATCCCTGGAATGTCCTCTCGGCGAGATTCCCACGGCACTTCTCCCACCCGCGAGCGTGACGGGCGGCCTTTATTTATTTTCTGGCTGCCTTTCCAGCCCTGCAAATGTCCGTGGCTCGGGGTGACGCTGTCCAGATCTCCGGCAGCCGCGTCCCTGCACCCTCAGAGGATGTTTATTGGATCGAGACCCGTTTTGGTGTTTTTTTTTTTTTTTTTTTTTTTTTGCCACAAAGCAGAAAAAAAAAAAAAAAAAAAGGGCAGGATTTATAGGATTTATGAAAGGTTCCTCCAGCCCTCCTCTCTCTCTCTCTCTCTCTCTCTCTCTCTGCCCTTTTCCGTGCGCGGCGCGTCCGTAGAAGTAAATCTATGAGTAAATCTATGGACACGTGGGGAAAACGCGCCTCGGAAAAAAAAAAAAAAAACCAAACCAGAGATATATGTAATTTTCGCCTGGGTTTCTTTGTAGCCGACGCGCAGATGGGGCGCTCTGACAGCCTGGGAGGGGATGGGGGTGTTCACCTGGCACGGAGGGACCTGCGGGAAAGCGCGGGGGGGGTAAAAACTCTGGCACGTGTGAGCCCAAACATCCGTGTGAGCCCAAACATCCGTGTGAGCCCGGACACGGGTGGGCACGGGCAGGGTGGGCACGGGCAGGGTGGGCACAGACACCGCTCTGAGCTCACACAACGCGCCCCCGAGTGCCCCCCAGACTCGGGAGGGCTGGGGTGCCTGTGGGACTCAGGGATCGGGCCCCCCACCATCTGTGCCGGCCCCGAGGATTCCAAATGATTTTCCTGCGGGCTCTCCCCCCTCCCGAGCCGCGCATATGCGTGTGTGTATAATCTTAATATTTGATGGCGTGATTAAAACCTTCTGAGAAACACTCGGGGGCCGCGTGGTATTGATCTTGCTGCTGCTTTTCTTTCAGCCAACCCAGCTGCCAGCTGGCTGCACGCCCGCTCCTCCCGGAAAAAACGATGCCCTTACACCAAATACCAGACCCTGGAACTAGAGAAGGAGTTTTTATTCAATATGTACCTGACGAGGGACCGTAGACACGAAGTGGCCAGACTCCTCAACCTGAGTGAGAGACAAGTCAAAATCTGGTTTCAGAACCGAAGGATGAAAATGAAGAAAATGAACAAGGAGCAGGGCAAGGAATGAAAAAAAGCAAAAAAGCAGCACCCCCACCCCCCCAGCCCCTTTCCCCCTGTCCCAGGCTCCGCGGCAGCTCAACCCCCCTGTAGCGCTGCCAAATCCCCCCGAAACGAGGGAGAACACCCCCCCTCCCCCGTTTCCCATCTCCACCTTTGCATGCGAGATGTTGCTTATTATTCTTTCTTTCTTATTTTTTTATTTTTGAATCTTCTTAGCGCTGCCACTTAGGAGGCAACTTAGCCAGAACTGCAGCTCCTTTTCGGGGACACACGCTGGGTTTTGTTTCTCTTTTCTTGTTTTCTTTTTCTCTTTTTTTTTTTTTTCCTTTCCACCCCCTCCTCTCTTTTCCTCTCCCCGCGGTGTTAACACAGCACAGGCTCCTGTTGGAGCAGCAGCTTTCCCTGCTCGCGTTTTCTCCATGGAAAACACAACCGGCCACCAAAAAAAAACCCAACCCCACGCCGGCCCAAACCCCCAGCAAAGCTCGCTGTCTTTCTTTCTGCACGCGAGGCCAACGATGCCCTGGAAAACAGGCGCTCACCCCACTCACACTCACACGCCGAGCTGGCCGAGCAACCAGACGATTTAATTAAACCACTCGCAGGACAGACACATTCGTAAGACTCGCCTTTAATTGCACCCAACAAATCATTTGCAATTCGCCAACTTTATCCCGGGGTAGCCGGTTAATGACAGCCCCAACTCCCAACTGGGGTTTCCCCCCCTTCCGTCCTCCGCCCTCCTCCCCCTCTCCCCTCCCCGTTATTTTTTTACTTTTTTAGCTCGTTTGATTCTGCGGGATTTTTGTTCCAATCGTGCCGTGGCAGAAATGTGACTTTGACCTGAAAGTTTAGTGGGATCTTTGCAGGCGAACCCTCCTCCTCTGGTAGTTTTATACTGGGGCACTTGGAAGAAGAGAAAAGACGGGGAGGGAGGCGAGCGAGAGTGTGCGGGGGGCACTCTCAGAGCCGCATTGTAAATTATTTAGGAGAAAAAGGGGCGGAAGAACCCCTGCCAACTTATCCCTAACTTTTAGAGAAGAGGAAGAATGGGATTTTTTCTAGTTAAAAAAAAAAAAAAAACCAACTACCTTAGTAGAGCTATCAGGGAGGGGACGGTTGTGTTCTTAGCGCTAGATATTTATAATTTATTGTGAATTGACTTTTCCTAAAGCAGTAGGGCTGTTGCAGAGATAAAGTGCCAACCCCAGCCTGTGCGTTATTCCTTCCCCCTCCCGTTCGCTGAGTCGCTTTTAATACTTGAATGTCGCTGGGGTTTTGCTGGGGTTGGGGTTGGGGCTTTTTTGAGCCCCCGGCGTGTTTTCCCGCTGCCCCCCTGATGCCCCCGCTCCCCTCCGGGCCCCGGTGCCACTCCCGGGGCCTCCCCGAGGAAGGAACCTCGTCCCACGGGTGGCACCGGGGGATGCGGCGGCTCCTCCGACTGCCTCCCCCCCTCCCTAATCCTCGTCCTGAGCCCCGAGAGGAGCAAATCCGGCCCTCGGCGGGCTCGTGTCCTGCGGCCGGAGCCGATTCCCCGTCGGACGGAGCCGCTGCGGGTCCCTCCAGCCCGCCCGGGCGGGACTTGGGTGCCCTTTATCTCTGTAAGACTTAACTTTGTTTTGGGAAGGGAGGGGGGAGGGAGGGAGGGCCGGGTTCGGGGGGGTTAGTTCCAGTCGCTGATATGGTGGGTGTTGTAAACCGTGTTCGTGCTCGTGTTTCTGTGAGTGTTGGAGCTCGTTTTCTGTTTCTACTGTGGCTTTTGAAGTATGCGAAGAGTTCTGCAGTTGATAGTGGACGGAAAAAATATCGAAATAAACCTCTGTCGTTTTCTTCGTGTGCAACTTTTGTATATTTAGCTGCCGGGAGGCTTTCTAGGAACAAGGCGAGTGTGAGGTGGCTTGTTTTAATGGGGCGAGGGGAGGAGAAAAAAATAGAGAAAAAGAGACATTTTTTCAGCCGTGTATCTGAAGGACCCAGCGCAAATCCGTTTGCAGAAGTGACTTGTGTATCCTCAGAGTCAGGTTTGGCGAGACCACTTTTATCTGCTGAGCAGCGGCTGCTCTGGGAAGGAGCGATAGGCAGATTGGCGTTTTTTTGGAAAGTGTTCCTGCTTCTTTTTTTTTTCCTCCCCCCCTCCCTCCGCGATCCAGAGATAAGAATCGAGTGGCTGCGCCTCTGAAATTTCCACCGCTTCAAATCCTCTTAAGGGGGTAAAAAAAAAAACCACCCCAACGAAACCTTCCCCTGGACAAGAAACCAGAGCTTAAGTGTTTAAGACCATCCCTCAGAAAGTTGTTTGAGTTTTAGTGTGGTTTTTGTTTTGTTTTTTTTTTTAATGCCTAGACTTTCTGGTGTAAAACTTTCCGTGGTGAAGTGGCTCCTTGGGGGCTTCAAAATTTAACTGTTCTCTTGCCGGAGGGACTTCGGTGTAACCAAACTTCGCTCCGCGGCCCGAAACTAAATTAAGAAAAGCTGTTCCGGAGACATTTTGAGCCGCGGAAGTTGGTGGCAGCGGGATGGTTCCCCTAAATGGGGATTTATTAAAAGAAAGAAAGAAAGAAAGAAAGAAAGAAAGAGAAGAGAGATAGTGGGTCGAAAAACAACGTTTCAGCTGCGTTTAAGCTGGGCAAAAAAAATTCAGTTTTGTTTGATTCTTCCCAAGGATGGAGGAATTTCAGCTCTGAGTTGGTTCGTTCCTCGTATCTCGAGCTGAGTATGGACTTGCCTAAACCCTCGTTGCTATATTTTTCAGAAGCTTTTCCGTGAGTTAATTGATGTTTTGCAACCCATCGGCCACCAGGACTTAGAAAGGTTTTTTTCCCTTTTCCTTAGAATTGTGGTAAAGAGCGGATATTTTTAAGATGACGATATAAGGTTCTTTTAAAATAGAATTTAAAATGTTAGCTCATTTTATTAGGAAATATGCTTACTTTAAAAAAAAAAAAATGTTGGGAAAAAAAAAATTGTCTTCTGTAGCATCAGCCCGGATGTATTTTCCAGAGATGTTTAATGCTCCAGAATAAAAATCGATTTTAGAACAACAGCTCCTATATGTCATTGTGTTCTACTGCTTCATCTAAAGCCTCAGAAATATTTGCGTTGTGTTTTCCTGCTCGTTAAGTGTGTTCCGAGGATTCTTTTTTTGCTTACGTTTAAAAAAAAAAAAAAAGGAAAGTCCAGAGGAAATGGAAATAATTCCCCTCTGGAGCAGCAAGTGTTTCCTTGGTCCCGCACAGACTCGCTGCTTTCCCAGTTCTTTTTATTCTGACGATTATTTTATGGTTAAATGGGAGATCGGGACTCTCCGGTCCCGTTTCTCGGGGCTCGCTCGTTTGTTTGCCTGTTTGGTTTTGAGGGTTTAATCCTCGCGGCCCCACACCGGCCTTTGGGGACGGGGAGGGGACAAAGCGGGTTTTGCTTCCTTTGCTTTTATTCCCCAGGAAAAACTTTCCTGGAGAAAAACGCGAACCCCGAACCAAAGAGCGGGGACCCCCCGGAGAAAAACCCGAACCAAAGAGGGGGAACCCCCCGGAGAAAAACCCGAACCAAAGAGCGGGAACCCCCCGGAGAAAAACCCGAACCAAAGAGCGGGAACCCCCCGCCCGCTCTCCCCTCCTGGCATCGCCTCGGCTCCCACACGCGGGGCCTTTTTCCGGGGGGGGCTCGACCAGCGGTTCCTGCAATTCCGTCCCTGAATTCGTCTGACTTTCTATTGCTCGTGGAGAAATACAAGTGCTTGGAAAGTGCTTCTATCCCTATATTTAAAAAAAAACCCCAACCCCAAACCCCAACCCAACCCCGAGAGCTGCTCAGCCCTGCAGGAAGCAGGTAGTGACAAATATAACCGAGGGTCCCTTCCCACTAATTTTTAACATAATGGGCGCTCTAAAGGGCAATATTTCACTTCTTTTTTTTTTTTTCCCTTTAAAAAAAATCCTTTCTTTTGGGGCAGCTCTGAAAAGAAAACAAAAGAAGAAGAAGAAGAGAGATATTTGGAGCTTACAGAGGGAAGGGAGAGAAAGGGAAGTAACTTGTCATAAAAAAAGGAAAATTCAGTGCAGTGTGCTGCAATAAAAGAATATGACCGCTATAAAACTTTATAGGGTATAAATTTCTGAAGGTTAAGGAACTAAACGGCTGTAAAGGAAACAGTGCAAGAAAACTTTCAGGAACTCCTAAATTACTCCAACGACTTGGGAATGTGGGGAAACCCAACGTGTAAATGCTTTTGCTTCTGCTTCGCTCACAAAGTTCTCCTCTTCTTCTTTTATTCTTTTTTTTTTTCCCCACTAAGGGAGGGGGTAGTTAAAAAATAAGGGGGGGGGGAGAGAAAAGGTGGGGAGGGACTTTTGCTAATTTATTCTTCTCTTGCAGATGCCGTGAAAATCCAGCGCTCGGGATGATTCCCTTTGTTCTTTATTATTATTATTATTATTATTATTATTATTCCTTATTATTATTATTCTTTTTTTTCCCTTTTTTTTCCCCCCTTTTTTCTTTTTTATTTTTTTTCCTTTAAAGCAATTCCAGGCGACCAGAATTCCAAACCACGCACACCAACACCCCCCCCACGCCCACGGGCACCCCCCTCACCCACTCACACCCTTCGAGGTTCTGGCGAGACGTCTGGGCTGGGGAAGGTTTTTATGAGTTTACAGCCCCGGCCCTTCTCTCTCCCTCCCTCCTCCGGCAGCAGAATGACCAATTGTTTAGTCTCGGAATTTGAAACAATAGCGGTTTTCAAAAGCGAACCCGCTTCGCCTCTTTTTTTTATTGCCGCAATGGTGAAGCTTTAAAAAAAAAAATCACACACACACAAAAAAAAATAAAAAAAAAATAAACCACAAAAAAAATTCCAGCGCTGTGAGGACAAAAAACTCTAATTTTTTTTTTTTTTTAGCTGTTTTTTTATCCTCTTTTTTTTTTTTGGTTTTTTTTTGGTTTTACCTCCCCGGGTCTGAGCGGGACGCCCCCTCACTCCCCCCCCAGCCCCCTCCCGGTTTCTTTTCCCTGGATTTTCCCTGGATTCCCTGCAATGCCGGTGGAGGACGCGAGGTGGCGGCCTTGCTCCACGTTAGACGGCGCGTCCCCCCCCGCGCTCCTCCGCGGAAAACACCTTGATTGCGTGGATAAAACACCCCCGTCCCCCCCTCCCGCCCTAAAACACACGCTTAATTACAGCCCCTTTTATACCTGACATCTCTTTTCCTCCGCCCGGCTCGATTATGCCAGGTTTAAAAAAAAAATAATAATAATTAAAAAAAAAAAATTAAAAATACTGCCTGGGAGGCGGCGAGAGGTGGGACTGCTTGGAATATTCATTTAGAGAGGGGGATAAAAAAAAAACAAACACACATCGGGGTTTTTTGTCTTTCGTGGCGGTGGGAGGGAGGGTTAATTATCCCAAACCCCCCAAGATTTACGTTGGCACGGCCGAAAAAGAGGGTGGCTCAAAGATTTTGGGGAGAAAGGGACTCACAGAATCAGGGGGGGGTTTCCCCCTCCCGGCTCTTCCCCTTTGCCGTCAGGATGATCTCTGCTTTCTGGGCTCTGTGCTTTATGTGTTTTATAATCCCACAGATATAATCCCACAGATATAATCCCATATATCGACCGAAAAAATACCCCCCACCCCACAAAAGCAGAGCAGCCCCTTTTTCGAAGTTCAACGGGCCATTTTTGGCACATTTTGCTCCTTCTTTTGGCGACGCTGCTGCTCTTTGCTCAAGACCTTCACTTAATAGGTTTAGAAATATTTTTGAAGGCTACAAACCAGTAAATTAACCCGAAATGCTTTTAACCAGCACGGTTTGGGATGCACACAAATACATCACTGAGGCAGCAGCAATAATGGCAACTTTTAACTCCATTTACTTCACTTTTATTTTGGCCTTTTTTTTTTCTTCGAAATTGCGGGAGAAAAAGAAAATATAATTATTCAGGCGTTCTAATCCTTCGGCCACAAATGGGGTCGGAAGGAACGGGGGTAATAATTTCAATGGGGTTTTTTTTCTCCGATTGTGGCGAGAGGGTGTTTTCTGACTCGATGTTTCTCCGAAGTTCCATCAGAAAAACCCTCCCGTTCCTCCATAAACTGCGTTCTGGGGGGAGAACGGAACAATTTAAACCGATGCAAACGAACCGGGAGGCGAGAGGTTGGTGCGAGAGGCAAAGTTTCGGCATCTCCAGACTCTGTTTAAACGCTATAAAATGAAATACGAAAGGTAAAGAGAAAGGGAAATTAAGGAAAATCTCGCCCTCGTGCATTCAGCAAAAGGCAGAGCAGTGAAAACTTCAGGAAAGGATTTGGGGTTCTTTTTTATTATTATTATTATTATTATTTTAATTTTTTTATTTTTTTTTTTTTAATCCTATGAATTCCTAATAAATCTTTGCTCCGCTGGGTATTTATAAATTATCTCTGGCGGACACGCACCCACGCTCACACCCATCCCCGCTCGCTTTTTCCTCGGAATAGAAACATTTTCCTTTCATCGGGACCCCGAGTCCGGTGCGGGGGATGATTTAAGATCAGCCATTGATTTCTGGGGCATCGCTGAGTTCCCATCGCCCCGCCACCCCCAAATTCCACCGCGCTTGATAAAAATGGGAACTTCCAAGCCCAACTTCGCTGCCCGCCCGCCCGGCTCCTGCAGGAACGGCAATTCCTGCCATTTCTCGCTTTACAAACTTCACTGGATGAGCTCGCGGCTGTAAATACCCGCGGAAGAAGAAACTTCTTTTCTAAAATTACTTCGGTCGATTCAGTTGTTGGTTTTTGGTTGGGTTGTTGTTTTGTTTTTTTGGTGGTTTTTTTTCCCCTTGAATATTCCAGCATCCCCACGCCGGAGCTGCAGAGCTCTATTTACTTCTGTGCACCATTCCGGGGCTTTTTATGTGCAAAGATGAAACCCAAATCTGCTCAATCGACAATAAAAGTGTTGGGAAAAATAAAATGTTAACTTGTCTTTTAGGGGGGAGAAAGCCTTAATTATACCACTGCAAGTACTCCAACAACAATAATTACTTGAAAAGGCTCTTAGACTCGGCTGAAATTATCCCTACACAAAATAAAGGAAACGTATTTACTTAAATTATTTCTCTAAGGATGGTTTTAAAGTTTTATTCCGTTACTATCTTTGTTTTCTTTCCTTCTCTTTCTTCCTGCCTTTCTTCATTCCCTGCCTATTCCCACTCTTGATTTTAGTGGATTTTTATTTTTTTCCCCCAAAGCCTTGGCAAGACAGACTGACCGAAGCATCCCAACTTTTTTTCCTCTTTTTCCATGTCGTGGAGGTCGAAAATTGTCCCTCAGCTGAAGGCGGGGAGGAGCAGAACCCCCTTTAATTCACCTTTCTCCGGGCAAAACCCGCGCAGAGGGATGCGATGGGAAAGCAGCAGAAACCTACCCAGGGCAAAAGGGTGGAAAAGGGGGGGGGGAATTGAAAATAGAGGTTTAAAAGAGTGTCTTTAACTCGTCTTGGAGGTGGAAGGGTTGGAGAACAGGGGCTTGGAGGGGCGTCCTGGGGGTTGAGAGGCTGGGGCAGCGCTGGGCTGGGGAGGGCTTGGAGTCGTTATTAACTGAAATACGCCTCGGTAATATTTGCTGACTGCGATAAATGAATTTGAAAATCTACCCCCTGTGTGTTTAGGCGGCGGAAAATTGCAGCGTTGGCATCTTCGGGGTAAGTTTGCACCGTTGTTACCAAATGCCAATAAAACAGAAAGCCTCTCTCTCCTCTCTCTCCTCTCTCTCTCCCCCATCCCCCCCTTCCCCCCGGTTTTCACCGGCAAGGACGGGGCGAAATAAAGAAAGAACTGGAAGTTCTCGGGGAGGGGGGAGCGGGGAGCGGCCACCGGCGAGGTTCTGGGCGGGAGGTGATAAGCGACAGCAGACTTTGAGTTCCCGATCGTCCCCAACCGCATCTTGAGCGAGTCCTCGGCGGGGGAGGAGGAGGAGGAGGAGGAGGAGGAGGAAGGCAGGGAAAGGGGCTGCGGGAAGAGCCACGAAAAGTCAATGTTATATATGAAAAACTATAATCATTTTAATTCAATATTGACACCCCGACATCTCGCCGTAATGCGGACGGGTCCAATCGAAACCTCTGCTTTATGGCGGTGGAGGAACGAACTCGTAAAATCCTAACGGCTTTTATGTAGTGCGGTATAAACAACAACAACATCCCCGGCTTTATGGCGTTTTATAGTTTGTTAAACAGTTTACAGCCTTTTTTGGGGCTATTACAAATGCAATTCCCTTCATGTGATAGTTAAACCTTTATCAATAATAAGGAAATTGATCATTAAAATGTTAAATATGACTACCTCGTTTGTTTTAAAATATGTTTAGGGTAAGAAGCTGTATGATTTGATAACTTGTATTAAAATACCAATTACATTTATAGGACCTTTTAAAACTGGTAGCAATTAAATCGTGTTCTTTTACAGTTTTCCAAAGCGACCCTGACATTTAAAAAGGCTAAAACTGCCTCGTTAAAATTTCGAAATTAACGACTGCGAGCGCTTCTCTTTAATTTTCCAACACTCCCCAAAAATCAATCTTTTGGGTGGTCTAGGTACGTGATTTGTTGTGAGGCGAGCGATATCTCATTAATGTAGGTAGTTAAACATATTTAATCCGTATATTCACCCCACCTCCTTCTCCCTTCCCCTCTCACTCCCTCTCTCTCTCCCTCTCTCTCTCTCTCTCTCTCTCTCTCTCTCTCTCTCGCTCCCTCTCCCTCTCTCGCTCCCCCTCGCTTGCTTTTCCTTCTTTATTCTCTCACACTCTTCCTTTCACAATCATGCGGTGCAGAGTCCGTGTGGAGTAAGGAGAAGCCAATAGGATGAGGTTTTGGTAATAGATGCAAATGATCATGAAAAGACACTGCAAAATATGAAACAACTCATTTGCGCTGAAGTAAATCACTGAAAACTGTTTATGAACTGGCATCTCTTCTTGGAAATGTAAAGCGAGAACTCTTTAAGTGGCGATTTTTTTTTTTTTTTTTTTTTAGGGGTGGGGGGGAGGAAAGAATTCAATATCATGCAGGCTTAGAGTTTTGATTATATCCTCCTTTTATATTCCTGGAAATCACAAACTGTCGTTGCTTAGCATCTTAGCGCTTTCTTTTTTTGCTAATAGATTCCCGTGGTCTGCTTTTGGTTGGCTTCTCTTTTTGTTGTTTGGGTTGGTTTTTTTTTTTTTTCCCCTTTTTTTTTTTTTTTCCCTTTTTTTTTTTTTTTTTATATAAATATTTTTTCTTCCTTCCTCCTCCAAACCCGACCGTCTCTTATTTAAATTAAAATGAGCTCTTATTTCGTCAACTCACTCTTCTCCAAGTACAAAACCGGGGACTCCCTGCGCCCCAACTACTATGACTGTGGGTTCGCTCAGGATCTCGGGGGCAGACCCACCGTGGTGTACGGCCCCAGCACGGGGGGCACCTTCCAGCACCCCACCCAAATCCAGGAGTTCTACCACGGAGCGTCCTCGCTCTCCAGCTCCCCTTACCAACAGAATCCCTGCGCCGTGGCGTGCCATGGGGACCCCGGCAACTTCTATGGCTACGACCCCTTGCAAAGGCAGAGCCTCTTCAGCGCCCAGGAGTCGGACCTGGTGCAGTACACGGACTGCAAGCTCGCTGCCAGCGGCCTCGGGGAGGAGGCGGAGAGCGCCGAGCAAAGCCCTTCTCCGACCCAGCTTTTCCCTTGGATGCGACCGCAAGGTGAGGCGAGATGGAAAAGGACGGCGAGGAGGCATTTCCTGAGCCCGCAAAGTCGCCCCCTCGCTTTTCTTTCTTGCCCCTCTCGGTCGCTCGCTTTTCTTTCGCTGCCTTTTTCTTTCCCCGCTGACTGTATTTTACTGCTTTATGGGGGTAAACTTTTGCACTTGTAAATTGCTTTATAGTTTAATTACCCTGAAGGAGACCTTTTCTTCTGGGGGCTGAGCGAGCCGGGCTTTCTGTGGAAGGAAGCGTCCTTAAAGTTTATGGCACTTTTATAGCCTTAAAAAGCCCCTTCATTTTTGCTTTGCGTTTGATTTGGGATCTCGCCGGTGCTGCCGGTTCTCCCGGGGCCGCGGCTATTTATTTATTTTTATTTTATTTAGGGCCTGTTGGGGGTTTTTTTTCTCTCTTTCGCGGGGGTCCCGAAGTGCCGGAGCGTGTTGTTGTTGTGGTGCTCGGGGTAATAATCAGTGTGCAAGTGCAGCCTGCTCGGGGTGGGCTGGTGGGTGACCCCCCCTCCCCTCCCTTTCTCCGCCACCATCGCCCCTTTCCTTTATAACCATCTTCCCTTTGAAAATATCCTCCAGGAGCCTTTCCCTCGCCCTCTTTGCTTCCTGCCTTTGCTCCTGCCAGTCCTTTCTTCCTTCCCCCTCCCCGCCCGCGTGTGTGAGTGTGTGGGAGCGGGTGGGAGCCCGAGTGTGCCTATTCCCGAGCCTGGTTTATGTATCTCTCAACCTCCTTCTCTCTCCTTCCCCTCTCCCACCCAACCTTTGCAATCCCCCAGCAGCCGCTGGACGGAGGAGGGGGAGGCAAACCTACAGCCGCTACCAGACGCTGGAACTGGAGAAGGAATTTCTATTTAATCCCTACCTGACCCGCAAACGGAGGATCGAGGTCTCGCATGCCCTGGGATTGACAGAAAGGCAGGTCAAAATCTGGTTCCAGAACAGGAGGATGAAATGGAAAAAGGAAAACAACAAAGACAAGTTTCCCAGCAGCAAATGCGAGCAGGAAGAACTGGAAAAACAGAAAATGGAAAGAGCCCAGGAGGTGGACGAGGAAGGGGAAGCACAGAAGGCGGACAAGAAATAAAAGGATTTTTAAGGACTGAAAGGCAAGCGCTGCTGGGGTGGCAGAGCCCCCGAGCCCCACGTTAATGGCAGTTAATGTAAGGGAGGGGTGGGGAAAAAAAAAAACAACAATGCATAGAAAAGAGAAAGGAAAAAAAAAACCCTTTTATTGCTGTAAAACAATATAGCTGTAAGCACCACTTTCCTGATTATCCTTTGATACAATGAACAGTATGCAAAAGTGATCGGGAGCTCTCTCCTGCCTTTTGCCAGTTATTAACTAGTGGTAGTGTAACGCAATAGCTTATGTAAAACATGACTGTGAAATCTTCTCTCTCTCTCTCTCTGTCTTTCTCTCTGTCTCTCTCTCTTCTTTCCTGGGGGGTGGGTTGGTTAACGTAGCTTTCAATGCTAGAGGAGTTACGTGAAATTACGTTCGTGTTTTTTTTTTTTTTTTTTTTTTTTTGAAATTTGATTTTTCTTTTCCTTTTCCACCTTTTTGGTTGTGGTTTATCTGTATGTGCCGGAGGTAGCTACTGAAACAAACATCCCAACAACATGAAACTGCCTATTTATGCTCTAGTTATCTCTCTCTTTCTCTCTCTCTTCCTCTCGTTGCTTTCCCTGCTGTTCTTTTCCTTGGTTCGTTTTTTTTTTTTTCTTTTTTTTTTTTCCCCAATTTTTAAATGTCTCTTCCAAAAAAGGGAAAAAAAAAGAAAAAAATACCAGAAAAAAAAAGCGTTTTTCTCTCCTTTAGTTAGCATGCGCACAGTGAAGCAAGTTGTAAAGTGATCTTTAGGTTAACTGTGAAAAAGAATGTATACTGTATACGTGAATTACTTTATTGGGGGAACTAATGATATATTTTGTTGTTCTTTCATCACTTTGTTCTATTGTCTAAACCTGGAAGCGGCGGAAGAAAGTTACAATAAAGTTTACAAGCGAGAATTCCGTGACATCATTCTTTTACCCCGCTCCGTTTCCTCCAGGACCACTTCGATAGAAAGGAAATAAAAGTCAATTGTGTCGGAGCCGCGGCCGTGGCCATCAAAGACCTCCTTTGCCCGGAGAGCTGCCGGCGGGCCGGGGGCTGCGGGCCCGGCCGGAGCCGGGGCTGGGCCCGGGGAGCTGCTGCCTGCGAGCCGCGGGCGAGGGGAGGAGGGGGTCGGGGCAACTGCCATGGCTCCTGCTCCTGTTGTTGTTCCCAACAGCTCCCGGCTGCTGACAGCTCGGCAGGCTGGGTGGAAATCCTTCCTCGAGAGGTAACGTGGCTTGGTTTGCTTCGTGGGTTCTGGTTTTCTCTTCTTTTCCCCTTTCCCTTCCCTCCTTTCCCCGTCTCTCCGGGCCCTCCCCGCTGCCCCCGCCAGACGCAGCCCAGCTCTGGGTCCCCTTTCCTTTCCTTTCCTTTCCTCCCACTCATCTCGCCGTAAAAAGAACCCACATTGTCAGTGGCGCAGCTGAGCCGTTCTCTGCTCCTTCGCCTCTCGGCCGGAGAGGAGCGCGGGGATGCACATAACCTTGGGAGAGGAGAACCGGCGCAAGCCCCAGATGCACATCCACCATTGTCTGCTTTTCCTGCCTGGAAACCTTTTCTTTCGGCACATCCCCCTCCCCTTTAAAAAAAAAAACAGAACACCACAACAAACCCGAGGCAGATCCCATTTTGGAAGGTCTCTCTGCTTCTCCAGCAGAAAGCAAATCAGCCAGCTGGGAAGGTTTGACTTCTGCCTGTAATTGAGCCCCGCAGAACCGCTGACACGCCAAACAAGGGATCTGGGCACTCTTTATTTTTCGCCACAAGAAAAGCAAATGCCAGCTCAATACGGAGCTCAAAGCCTGTGGCACTGGAATAAATTAGATATAGAGCTGAATGGCATTTGGGGAGGGGGGAACAGAAGCCTGAAACTATTAGGTATCAATGAGACATTTGTCTTTTTTTTTTTTTTTTTTTTTTTTTTTGGGGGGGGGAGCGAGGGTCAAGGGGGGAGAGGAGGGAATTATGTACAGTCTCGTGAAAAACTAGCTCGGAGCCGAGGAAATGGTGCGAAGGAGGGAATTTTAGACGGGATCAATAAAGGGATAAATAGAGCTCCCTTCCTTTTCCTCCAGCAGAGAGAGACCGAGAGGGAGTCGCTGTTTTATCAGCAACGTGCTTTTTTTAACCCCCTCCCCTTTTTTTTCCTCTCTCTTTCTCCCCTCGGTCTGAGCTGAAAACTGATTACAGGTTGCTTATCGACTCCAGCACAATTTCACCCCTTCCAGCATAGATCTTGGAGGGTTTTATATCGCATCAATTATTTATCATATTTTATAAATCCAGCCGCACAGTCTCGTGCCCCCGAGGAGGGGGCGGGCGGCGATTGGCGCCGCAGCAGCCACGTGCCCGCGCGTCACAAGGGCCGGGAGGAAAAAGGCTCCTTTTTGGTGTAAATCTGGACTCTAATTCCGTAATATATCACGGTACCTCGTAAAACCGACACTAAAACGTCCCGACCTACAAATCACCCGGCCAAATTATGAGTTCATTGTATTATGCGAATGCTTTATTTTCTAAATATCAAGCCGCAAGTTCGGTTTTCCCATCCGGAGTCTTCCCCGAGCAAACTTCTTGCGCTTTCGCCTCCAACACCCAGCGAGCGGGGTATGGGGCCGGATCCACGCCTCCCTTCGCCGCCTCCATGCCCGGGCTCTACTCCAGTGGCAGCGCCGTGCACCCCCAGCCCCCCGGCATGTACTCCTCGGGGTACGGCCTGGAGCCCGGCTCCTTCAACATGCACTGTGCCCCTTTCGAGCAAAACCTTTCCATGATGTGCCCCGGAGACGCCTCCAAGCAGAACTGCAGCAAAACGGACCAGAGGGACTCAGATTTGCAGAGCGACAGCAGCAACTTCCGCATCTACCCCTGGATGAGGAGCACAGGTAAGCCCCGGCCTCCCGAAAGAAAAGGAGCGCGGGGTCGGGGAAGGGGGGTTAGGGGGTGGGGGGAGTGTAAATTATTCCATGGCGTGCGCGGGGGGGGGGCGGAGGGGGAGGTGGGAATTGTCCCCAACTCCTTTCATGACGTTTCACTGAAAACGCATCTTCAAAAGAGAGAGGCAGAGAAGCGACCACACCACCCCCCCTCCACCGCCACCCCCCCCCCCCCAGAAAGCCATCCTTTTAGCTTTAAATATTTATTGGTGCTGCCGGGGCCGTGTGTGTGCCGTGCAAAAGGCAGTTTGTCTCGGAGGGGACAGACGGAGCCGCAGAAATGATGGCCAGCCCCTTCTCCTCCGGTATTTACAGGATGGAGGTTGTGCTGCCCCCGCGTAGGTAGAGACGTGGGTTCTGGAGGGAACTGCTGATGGGGAGCGCTTGCAGGCTCGGTTTGTTTTCTGTTAGATGGCGAAACCTTCGCCCGCCGGCCCCTCACAGCGTCCCAAACACGGGGACTGAGCGCAGCCCTCAGAACCGGCAGCACATCGGCCCCTCCTCAGCCCAAAGCTCCGCTCCCGGGTCGGTGACACTCCGGCCGGAATCCGGAGGGATGGAGGGAGGGATGGAGGGATGGATAAGGGGGGGAGGGGCACGTTTAACTGTGTCCCCAAAACATCACACGTTGCGGAGGGCACTTTTGGGGACCTTGGGGTGCTCGGCGCGGCCCTGCTGGGGGGGCTGGAGGGTCCCCGGGGCCGGCCCACGCCGGGTCACGCTGCCCCCGCACACGGGTCTCAAACCCTCCGCCTTCAGTCACCGACGCGCTCCGTCTGAGGGTATTAATGTCAATTAACATTAAATAAATATCCATTTCCCTGGCCGGGAGCGGGCCCGGGGCGTCCCGGCTCCCCCCGGGCCCTCCTGCACTGGGCGCTCCGGGGCTGGACCGGAGCTCCGGGACACGTTTATCCCCCTGGGAACAGCCCGGGCCGTGTCCGAGCACACGCGTGGTGCTGTTTACACTCGTGTGATCCTCGGAAGGGGGGGGGAGAAAGGCGATGCTGTCCCGGCTGGGAGAGGGGGAGAAGGCGTGAGCTCATTTTCCAGCCGCCGGATTGCAACTTGAGAGCATCATCCCCTGCGAGCGAGACGCTCTCCACCGCCAAAAAAAATTCGGGAAAGGCCTTCTTAGGGGTGCGGGCCAGCCTCCCTGCGAGGCAGAGGCGAAAGAAAACAGCCGAGCAGCCAATGTGGAGCTGCTTCTAAAGGCAGGAGTTACCCTCACACTTATTTGGTGGTCAGTTCTTTCCATTACCTGCTCCATAATTCATCCTCTTTTACAGTTGATTTATCAAAGACCAAATATTTCTGGTCGTAAACACTTCACCTCTGCTTTTATCTGACTTTAGATTTAAGAAGCCCCCCCCTTGCTCACCCCTCTTTTAGCCCGTGACTCTGCGAGGATCAGCCCTGGAGATGGTTTGGAAAGGGGGCGAATGCTCGGAAAAGCCCTGGATGCTCCGGGATCTGCTGAGCCTAAAACCAGAAAAACCCGGCCTGGGTCGTAAAAGCGGGGTCCCCCCTCCCATCCCCCTTTCCCAGGGCTCCTCCATGCCCACTGTGCGATCCCGCTTGTGGAATTTCATCAGCGAGCAGAGATAGAGTTGTCATCCCTATTCAGCAGCAGTTTATGGCTCTTCCCTCGGCGGATTTTACAACCCGCATTCCACGACCTGCACAGTTTTACTTTACAGCTAGCCTGGCTATTTTGCCTTTTTTTTTTTTTCCCTCCTCTCCTTTTAATGACTGGATCTTTTCTTCTTTTAAAAAGAAAGAGGGCTGGGGTGGGGGGGAAAGAGGGGAGAAGAAGAAGAGGAGTCCGGTGGAATGTGTGGAGGAGAGGCCGAGGGTTGCTCACCATCCCCACTGCCCTGGGAAAGAACGTGTTCTGCTGCAGACACACACAACATTTACACGGAACACAGAGCCAGGATCACAAACACCATATTGTAGAATAATTTCCAATCAGACTCCAGGAAATGTCGGGTGGAGGGGAGAATCAGGAGCTGGGCCCTTTCCAAACCCCGCTCGCAGGCGGCTGGAGGGTGCTGGGGGGCCCGGGGTGAGTGTTGGGTCACTTCTCGTCTGCACACCCCCCAAAAAGAGCAGCCTGGGCGGGAGAAGCCTCTCTGAGAGCCCCAGAAGTCACCCCTGGGCCCAAAACATCCCCTGAAATGATTAAGACCATCACACACCTTCCAAGCAGGCATCCTGATGACAGCTTTAAGAGAGGACAAA